CGCCAAGCACACGACAGATGCAAGGGTCTCGGAACTTAGATCCAACTCAGCACTGGCCCATTCTGCCACTTTCCATAGACGTGACGACTAGCTTTCCGTGGCCTCTCGCCGCCACGCCCAATCCACCGCCCACGCGCGCCTATTCCTTTTCTTTCATCGGGTACTAGACATAGTCTTTGCGGCCTCTGCGCTGCGCATTCTTCACCATGGCCCTCCACGCGGCCGGCGCTGCCCAGGTGTGTTTTGCCACGAGTTCCGACATCGCGTCATTGAACCCCTACTGACTGAGATATAGAAGGTCGCTTCTGTCACGTCGCAACTGTCGCCCACCATGTCTACCGTCCTGCGCTCCCCGTGGCACGCCCTGGGCCGCATGCCCACGGCTGCCGGCGTCAGGCAGCTCACCACCGCATCTTCGTCTTTATGTTCAGGTTAGTTGCAATGAGGCACAGTCGGGGTACAACACTAACACTCTGCAGTACCACGCGCCGGACTATGCAATCCCCTCGCCATGACATCGCCCGTCGCTGCCCTCAGGGCCCGCCAGTTCTCTTCCATGTCGCGCAACGGCCCTCTCTCGCACCTCCGCCAGCTGACCAAGCCCGGCATGCTCGGACTCAGCCTCGTACAACAGCGCTCGCTCTTCGGTGGCCCCTCTCAGGAACAACTCGCTCGGCTCGAACAGGCTGCTAATGCCAGCCCTACGAGCGCCTCCGCTCAGGCTTCCTTCTACTCGGCTCTTCTGCGCGGCAACTACCACCAGATCATCATCGACCGGTACAACACAGGACGCTTCGCCACCAACTCCACAATCGACAAGATGTACAACAACGCCTTGGCAAAGACGGGACAGGACGGCGGCGAACACTCGGGGCTCACCGCGAACCAGCGCCAGGCTATCACCCAGGCCATTGGCGCAAACGCTGGTGGTGCCCAGGTCGCCAAGACCAGGGGCGGCGCTGGCGTCAAGGCCGACCCCGTCTACGTCGTTGTCGAAGAGTCTCTGATGAACGTCATCTTCAAGTGGGTCCGCTGGATCTGCGGTTTCGCTCTGGCTGCCTACGTCTCCCTGATCCTCATCACCCTCTTCGTCGAGACCAGCGGCGTCCTCAAGAAGGGCGTCGGCGGTAAAGAGAACGCCGAAGTCCGTCCCGAGCAGCAAAACACCCGCTTCAGCGATGTCCACGGTTGCGACGAGGCCAAGGAAGAACTCACCGATGTCGTTGACTTTCTCAAGAACCCAGACAAGTACAACAAGCTCGGCGGCAGACTCCCCAAGGGTGTACTCCTAGTTGGCCCTCCCGGTACTGGTAAAACTCTGCTTGCTCGTGCTTGCGCAGGAGAGGCTGGCGTTCCCTTCTTCTACATGTCCGGTTCCGAATTCGACGAAGTCTATGTCGGTGTCGGAGCCAAGCGTGTCCGTGAACTCTTCACTGCTGCTAGAGGCAAGGCACCTGCCATTGTCTTCATTGACGAACTTGATGCCATAGGCGGAAAGCGCAGGTCGCGCGACGCCAGCTACCACCGCCAGACCCTCAACCAGCTTCTCAACGATCTCGACGGTTTCGACCAAAGCAGTGGTGTCATCTTCATTGCTGCTACCAACCACCCCGAGTCTCTCGACGAAGCCTTGCTTCGCCCCGGACGTTTCGATCGGCATGTTCAGGTCGAACTCCCCGATGTGGGTGGTCGGCTGGCCATCCTCAAGTACCACACCCAGAAGATCCGCCTCTCTCCCGATATCGACCTTTCCACCATTGCCCGTGGCACCCCCGGATTCTCTGGTGCCGAGCTAGAGAACGTTGCCAACTCGGCAGCTATCCGTGCTTCTAAGATTCAGGCAAAGTTCGTCTCTCTCGACGACCTGGAGTGGGCCAAGGACAAAATCAGCATGGGCGCCGAAAGGAAGAGCCGCTCCGTTCCGCTCAAGGACAAGATTCACACCGCCTACCACGAGGGTGGCCATGCGCTCGTCGGTCTCTACAAGCCCGGCTTCAACGATCTGCACAAGGCGACTATTCTTCCCAGAGGTCACGCTGCCGGTATCACCTTTTTCCTTCCGGAAGAAGAGGGCCACCACACTCGCAAACAATACATACGCCAACTGCAGGTCTCTCTGGGCGGCAAGATTGCGGAAGAGCTTGTATACGGCGAGGAGAATGTATCTACCGGAGCTTCTAGCGACATTTCCAATGCAACGAGGATAGCGTACATGATGGTCACTCAGTGCGGTTTCTCAGAGAAGCTTGGCAACGTCGACTACAAATCCAATTACGAGATGGTCGCACCCGAGACCAAGCGAATCATCGACGACGAGGTGCGAAAGCTGATCGATGAGGCAAGAAAGGATGCGAAGGAGCTGCTGCTGTCGAAGCGCAAAGAGCTCGACAGATTAGCCGATGCGCTTGTGCAGTACGAGACGCTGGACAAGAAGGAGATCATGAAGGTCATCAAGGGCGAGGACCTTCCTGGTCGACTGAAGGCGTTGCCTGACGCGCCCATCAAAATCCCAGATAACCCTCTCCCCACGGCGATAAGACCAAGGGGTGATGGTGGTGACGGCCCAGAACCTCCCGCTCCCATACCTGCGTAGTTAGCGGGATGGGAATGATGGATGTGCATAAAAGCACGTTATTTACGAGGTGAATGGCGTTCGTTCGATCTCTTCCCTCTCGTTGGAGGGTTTCGCTTCATTGGTCATGTACAATATTAGGAATACTTTAGCTTAGCGAATAGAGCGAGCTATTGACCATAACGAGCTATGGATTGTGGTGAGAGCCGTATGTGGAGATGATGGACAGAAAGAGGTAGATTGATGATAGTCAGAAAGGAATGAGGAATGAAAACAGACACATCAATACAAGCAGCTTCCAGTCCAGATGTAGCGGCTGGGTACGCCCTTGGAGGTCTTACATCCCAACCTCCGTGAATTTAATCAGGTAATCGCGATCGCGATGTATTCACTCCTATCGCCAAAGTGAAGACCAGCCTTCACCCGGCGAAGGCCAGATGAGCAGTGGCGAGCCTCTGAGCCCAGTGCTCTCTACACGTACTCTCAAAGGTCGCGAAACAAGGACAACCCACCATGTACCTTCGTGCTTTGGCAATCACTGCAGCCAACTCAACTTCCTCACGGTCACTTCTACGGCTCCAGCCCCGTACTTCTTTTCGGCCTTGGAATTACAACACGGCCAGCTCCCGTAACAATAGGACTGCAACTTCGACATCGCGGAACATCACCGGCATTGTCGACACGTACGCGTCACCGGCTATGGGGTCATCACTACCAGAATACTCGCGGCGGTCGTATGATCCTATTCTGAGCGGTCGTGGACACGGTGATGTTAGCACATCGCCATCACCATCACCATACCCCTTTTCAAACTCCAGGCGAGCCAACCTCCATCCCTCAAACTCCACACATTCAGGCTATCTCGACCGCGCCCAACTATTCGGTCGTACACCTCTATCTGTCCCGCACAACGCCCGTCGCACGCGCGGTCCCCACATCTCAAGCATACGAAAGCGCTCTTCGCGTACCCCGCGTGGTGAATGGGCGGAAGCGGGTCTTCCTGAACCACCTATCGAGGACAGAAGCGTCTCCTTGGACGTCGCATCAGGACTGATTTGCACACCCACCGGCATAACCACCCTCGATGTCGAGGAAAACACGCCAGGTCGCTTTTCACCAACAGCTCAGACGCCTACTTCTTGCAAGATATCGCCTGCTGAGAACGCGCTTCGGGTGCAGTTTGAGAAGGGTAGGGTAGAGCTGGCTAGGGGTCTTGCGCGGCGAAGTAGTTCGAATGGGAAGTCGAAGTGGGCTGGGAGGAGTCTTGGTAAGCATCGTGGGGGGTACGTGTCTCCTAAGACGCCGTCGAATGTTTCTGCGGATGAGGAGAGCGAGTTTGGGTATGTGGATCCGGCGAGTGTAAGGGATGTGCTTGGGCGCGTGAAAGCGAGGGAGGCGATGGGTGGGGACACAGGGCGTGCGAAGTTGCACTTCGCTGATGAACAGAGTGCGAGGAGTGGAGATAGGCCGAAAGACAGCTACTTCGACGTCGATATCCCGCGCCGTAGTAAGGAAGGGCTCTTTGCTGATTCATCGGATGCAGACACGGCTTTGCCAAAACTTCCGAATCGAAGTGTCTTTTCGAAGTCACGGCAACCAGTCAGACTATTGCCCACCATAAAGACACCAACTCGCGGGAAGCGCCCATCTACAGTTAGCAATCGGATTGAGCTTTCGTTCTCGCCCATCATCACTGCTATCGACGTGGCTCCCCAGCCAGCACCCCAGGATCTTGCTATCACGCCCGTTACCACCCATCTCTCTTTCAGCACCATCACAACAACAATATTCCAACCACCTAATCTTCCACACAACCGCACCGGTCTTACATTTTCCCAAGCCACAGCAATAATATACGGCTGCATGGCAGTAACAGCATCGCACCAAGCGCTTCTTGGTCTAGGCGGTGACATCGCCGCTATGGACTTGATCGTGGGTCTTTACGGGGCTTTCCTTTTTGGTGTCGCCATATGTGTGGCTCTACAAGTGCTGTTAGGTGCTGGACTGCGTTGGGTACCGGGGGATGTTCTGTGATGGATTGGATGGTTGTGGGGCTTAGTACGTTAGGCTTTTTGGGAGGGGTTTGAAGATGGGGATTTAGAGTGACGCGGTCAGGTGTACATGCGCAAAATGTATGCTGTTTGAACGACGAGTCGATCTGTGATATGTAGTGGCATGATTAGCGCGTATCACGGCACAGTGAGTAGGTATGTCATTGCGATGTTAATCTTCATGCCATTCAGTGTATCAAACTATTCGCCTTCCATGGAGTACGTGAATCGCTGCATGTGTATATCAAGTTGTTCGCAACCATCACGTACCGACTCCACTCCACTCAACATCCCATCACCACCAACCCAAGTCCACGCCCCATCCCCATCCACATCCACACCCAGAACCTATCGCCTCCCTCAACTCATCCCATCAATCAATCCTGCGGCCTCCTTCTCCCCTCCTCCGCCTCCCGATCCCCCATCAACGACTCATCCGCATCGCCATACTCCATCACGCGTCTGCGCGCTTCTCGTGAGATCCGCTCGTTCTCCTCCCGCTCGCGGCGCCGCTCGTCTTCCGCCCGTGCCTCGATAAGATCCTGCACGTAAATCGTGGCGTCGGTGAGCTTGGTGATGATGAAGTTTGCGATTGCTCGCGGGGAGCCTGGGCCGTTGCTGTCCATTGAGGTTTAGAACTCAGAAGGTATTGTAGGGTGTGTTGCCTAGGTGGTAGCGGAATATGTGGGATATGGGGGATATGTGAGCTTTGTAAGATCAAGTGGTTTGGAGTGAGATTTTGAGAGATTAGAATGAGGGAAGGCTGGGGATGTATGGTGGTTGCTTTTATTGCGGCGAGGGTGTGTATAGAAAGAGGTGAATTGTGCCTTCACCTGCTTCCCATGGTACGTGGTGGACCCTTATCCGCCTTCCACGCTGATATATCCAACCTGCCGATGCGTCGCTTCGCGAAGTTCACTACCGCATTCACATTCGTTTCCCGGTTTGAAATGCGCCCGTTAACCTTCACTCGTTGCGTTGTCCGACTTTGGTGGTCGTATACACGCGGTACTAACATGTCGAGACAAGCGTCCTCCTTCATTTCTTCTTACACATCCTGTCTGTTCTCAAAACACCATAGCCCCACCATCAACAATGATATCCGTCCCATTAATATACCTCCCCGCATTACTACACAACAGCACCAACGGCCCCGTCAACTCCCACGGATGCCCCATCCTCCCCATGGGATTCCTGTCATTCCAACTCTTCCTTGCCCTAATCAATCCATCGCCATCATTCAATATCGTATCCATATACCCCGGGCTCAGACAATTAACCCTAATGCCGTAACTACTCCACTCCGCAGCCAGACTCTTCGCCAGCGACAACAGGGCCGTCTTGGACGAGTTATACGCGCATTGCGGCTGAGGGTAATTCGTGTGATGCGCGGATATACTCGCCGTAAACGTAACACTACCCCCCGTCCCCTGCGCACGAAACTGCTTCGCAACAGCCTGTGCACACAAGAACGACCCCGTAAGATTGATATCGTGTGTGCGCCGCCATTCATCCGCCGCCATCTCAATCGCGTGTGTGCAGCCTACCACGCCGGCGAAACAGCAGAGCATGTCTATGCTACCGAGTACTTTGACGCTGCTTTCCACGGCTGAAGCAATGGCTTTCTCGTCGCGGACGTCGACGGCTTCGGTTATAATGCGTGCGTGAGGGAACTTGGAGTGCAGTTTCTTGACGCTTTCGAAGGCTTGGTCGGGGTTCATGTCCCAGAGGGCGAGGCCCGTGGCGCCGTGTTCGAGGAGGGCGGCTGCGGCTTCGAGGGCGAGGGTGCCGGCGCCACCGGTGACTATAGTGGTGGTTAGCAAGATGGTCTTGGTGTGTGGTGTGCGGTGTGTGGATGGGGATGAAGAGGGCGAGGTTACCCTAAAGGCGTTCACGTACTGATCGCATTGCCCTTGACCTGGAACCTATACTGCGCTCTCTCTGCCGTAGACAATTTCTCTGGTGGTGGCTTGGGTGCTGTGAGAGGGTTGTCGGCTGTCGACAGGGTCATCTCTGGGAGCTGTCGGTTGACGAGCGCGGCGCGGTCTTCTGCGTCTCCTGCCATTTTGATTGGATTATCGCGACGATAGATTAGTTCAATTAAATAAGACTCGTGGCGTGTGATCAAGGGAGTTGGGAGCTTCAAGATGCCACTTCAGCCTTCTTATGGACGCGTTCGGACGACAGAGGTCCGTTTGTTCGGATTGTTGGTGGAGCGCGCCCAGCTCGAACATGACGTCGGAAGGGTCCGCCCCACTGCTTTCACCCCACCAGCGAGGGAGGAAGGTCTGCCGAGCGCGGGGTTCACTGCGACAAGTCAACCTTCATTTCCACGGTGTTGATGTGCGACCATCAAGACCTCATCAATGCGCCTCGGCGACTCGTTCGCAGCACTATTGTGTTCAGACTCAACATTCCCACAAGTCGCGATGTGCGCATCTGATCCGATCTAGCAATTCCACACAGCGCAACGTGTGGAGCGACTAACCACTGAAGGGTGAATGTCTTGATCAACATGGTCGCTCAGTACGGGCATTGGCTTTCACAAAAAATTCATTCTGACTGCAGACAATTCCTACGTAACTCGAATATGTAACTCATCCAAGTGAGCGAGACCTGCGACAAACGTCTCTCTCTATCCCACGCCATTCAACCATGAAATACTCATCGCAACCGACCCCGTCAACTCTCGAAAGAGACTTCGGACCAGAATGGTCCGACCGCCTTCGCACAACTATCCCCTCTAACTCAGAGCTGATGATTGTCGAACAAGAAGCATGGAAGGATCAAGCTCATTGGAGGGACAACGACTCAGGCACCCCGAGACCTGTTGACCCATGGAGGCTGATAACTCCACCGGGGACGCCTGGGAAAGAAGAAGGAGATTTAAGAAAATTGACGGAAGATGGCTTCGTACTTGAACAGGAGTACGATCCTAGATGGGCGCTTGTCAAATACGATTACAACTTCGAAGCTTTCGAAAGAGTCAAAGCGCATCAACTACGCTGTAGTCTGGAAACGCAAAACTTCGCGAAGAAGATTGTGTGGTATGTCTTTTTAGCTGTCCTGCTCCATGGTATCTGGACGCACTGGAACGAGTCGGAGAAACGCGGCATGTGCGATCACCATTGCCCGTACTGTGCCGCAACAGTCGATTGACATTATGGGTTTGCTGGAAGGAGTCAGACGAAGCTAGTAGATGCGTGCAACAATATCTCAAGTTTTTCGTAAGCCGACCGCGATGTCATAAAGATACGTAGTTCTTTGCGCAACCCCATGCGTACTGGTGGTCAAATAGACGATGAAGTCGCTGTGTTCGCGTATAAAATATTCTTTGATTCACCGTGATGATCCGTAAATGCTGCCTCAATAGCAGCTCCATCCATCACTGTGCTGCGCGCGATGCAGCTAAGATGCGGGGTCTCCACATCGTACCTTCCGCTAGTGATGGCTTGATCTGCATCATGAAAACGTACAACCACGCAGGTGATCAACGTTCTTTGATCATGACCGGCAGGCCCGGGCTCTTTCCACCCATCACCTCGCGACCCTTTCCAATCCCATCCAATGGCAAATGATGACGGTGTGGTAAGACGCGGTACCAAAAGAGCAAGAACGCGGCACGGGTTAGTCCAATCAAAAGCACACCACAACAACCACATCTTGCTGACGCACGTCTTCCAGCTGCACAAACTGCAAGCTCAAAAGACGCAAATGCGACGAGAACAAACCCACATGCGGTCGCTGCAGCAGCAGGAACGAAAAATGCAACTGGGCTTCTCGCCTCACCTTCCGGGCCGAGAACGCTTTAGGTGTCGGGCCTGAGGAAGCGCATCGCGTGCCAGGGCGACCGCCTGCACGGTTTAGGATCAAGGATGTGACGGAGGAGGTTATACGCGACTATCAGCATTACGATCCAGTAGTGGACGATCTTGATACAGCAGATCAATTTGACGATCGGCAGACTCCGACTTCTGGCAACATATCGCCAGCTACAGCCGACAACGAGCAGGTACCATCGCATCATGCTCACCCGTATTGGCAGCAGAACACGCCTTTCTCGGCTACAGAAAGTACTTTGGATACGCTCCAGTCGACCCAGTATGTGTCTTTACCCACGACGGGAGATATCGAATCCATGTGGCACAGTCCCGGCACGACTACGTATCTAGACGACAGCGTCTTCCTACCAGGCTCAGCGTATCTCGATGCGCATTCCACGTTTCGGAGCCATTTGATGCAGGAAGTGAGATCTAATGTGCCGACGAGGGAGGTTACACCGGATGCTGCGCGTATTGGACTGGGCTGGGGAGGGGTGCAAGAGAATTACGGATCGGATGCAGATGCAGCGAGGCACATTGTGGGAACGTCTCTCGACGCCACACCTATCAATGAGCCTGAGACTGCAAACATCTCAACTCCTCAGCTATCTCCAGAAGAAGACTTCGAACTCTGGAAAAACTGGCTCGATGAAGTAGCCCCCTGGATCGATAAATTCGACCCAGAGCGCCATTTCCAACGCACCCTACCCATCATGGCGCGCTCACACGACCACTTGCGGTACTCGATGCTTGCGCTCTCGGCACGCCAAATAGAGCGGAAGAACAACAGTAAACATACCTCACGCAGTCTAGCTCTCTACCAAACCGCCATTCAACTCGTGCTACCGCAACTACACACCCGCAGCACACCGGTCATAGCATCATGCGTCGTGCTATGTGTACTCGAGATGCTGAGTAGCTCGGCGAAAGCGTGGCATCAGCATCTAGATGGATGCGCGCACCTGCTGGAAGCTGTGGGTATCAATGGGTTCAGCGGTGGTGTGGATCAAGCACTGTTTTGGTGCTTTGCTCGCATGGACGTCTGCGGCGGGCTTATCGCGTCGTCTAAAACGCTCATACCGGTTGAGCACTGGGCTTCTTCAGGAATGGGTCTGGATGCCGACGTGGACCGTTTCCGTTCTGTGGGCGACTACAACGTCTACGCATGCGAATCCGTGTATCTCATTGCCCGAATCCTCGACTTACTGTCTTTCCATTCCAACCTAGCCGGTCGCGTGGGCGCTACACCACGCTTGTCCACAGACACAGACACCGCATACACCGCTCGCTGGACTCAACTCTGGCATCACATATCCGCATGGTACACCACGCGCCCCGCAGAAATGCTCCCAATCTCCTCCTTCACCCCACCCACCTCCCCCTTCCCTCGTCTCCTCTACAGCAACCCCGCCGCCATGTCCGGCAACCAACTCCACCACACCGCCTGCATCCTTCTCCTCCGCCACAAACCTCCCAACACCACCGTTACACCTAAACCCAACTCAATCTTCTGGCACGCAAGACAGATTTGTGGAATCTCGATCAGCAATGATGATCATGCTGCGTGGACGAATGCGATTCAGCCGCTGTGGATTGCGGGACAGTGGATGAGCCATGAGAGTGAGCAGAAAGCGATTTTACAGCTGCTGGAGAAGATTGAGAGACTTTCGGGGTGGAGTACGAAGTGGAGGGCTGAGGATTTGAAGGAGTTTTGGGGGTAGGGCGGAGGTGGTGGTGTGAGGCTGGGGTTCAGCCTGGTCTCATACAGTGCAAGTGGTGGCGATATTGCGCGGAGCCTTGAGGTGTTTGCCGCTGGAGGCGCATTTGATGTCCTCGATGGGTGTGGCTCCCAATCATGTTCGAGGAACTTGGAGGCGGGAGTTCAGCTTTCGAAGCTCAGTGTCCAGTCGTGAAGGCCTCTCGTGTTCACGGGCTTGGCGGCATCTTCCGGCCCCCCATATTCAGCCTCGTGGCCTGGTCTATCATGTTAAAAGCTTTGCTGTTGCCAGATGTTGCGATGGCCTAATCTATATTGGCATAGCCTTGCTGTAATTCGAATCTGCCGAAATGGGCAACAGCTTTGGTTTCTTGAGAGGCGAAAGCGGAAGTGGGTTTCAGTTCAACGTGGTGGAGGCCTGCAAGGCTGAGGATGTAGACCTTGCTCAGGCTTGTAGCCTAACGTTTGGTGCGGATCATGACCTGGTCTCGATTGGCAATGTTACGAGGGGAAGAATGGTGCCGCAGCCTGGTATAGCGGGCATTGGAGTAAGTCAAGGTGGCAGATTGCAGACATTGTACGCGAGCTAACATTGCTAGATCTGGATCGCGATGGTACTGTTCTTCGCTGTTGTCGCGATATCCCTCATCTTTGTCGTTATCGAAATTTGGTCCAGGGCAGATGTCTCGTAAATATATCCAAGTGTAAACTGTCGAACGAGACTGACCATCAACGCACATAGTCAATTCGGCAGCGCCTTCGCGAGCCTCAGAGACAAACCCAACAAGAAGACTCCCGAGAATCCGAACGCGGATCCGACATGGAAAGACAGAGTGCGCGCAGCTGGCCGAACATTCGTCTTGGGTGTGGCAGACACCCAGACCATCTTCGTCGGAGCTTTCCTTCTCGGTTTCGCTGGCCGAAGCAAGTGTAAGCTAACAAGCTATCATTTCACAGTCGCCGTCAGTCAAATGATGATCGCGCTGTCTGTTCTCACCTTCTCCATCGCGTTGGTACGGACGTACTGGCGAAACCCCCTTGCAGCCGCTTTTCGACTGTTGCTTTCCGTCGGAGCCTTCATCGGTGTCGGATTGACCATCTTCAGGGAAGCCAACTATGCTCCGTATGGCGCACTCAAGCATTCGAGCAGAGACAGCGCTATCCTGCTCCCAGTAGCATGTATGCTAGAAATGGACCTGCGATCGGCAGCAGAAGAGCAAGCGCGTCAGAACAAAGCCAATCTTGGTTTCGGAAACGCAACAGCCTGGCCACCCGAAAGATTCATGTACATCGTCCTCGGCGTCGCTTTCCTCGCCGCCCACATCTCAGTCCCCATCCGTTTTGCGGAATCCAAGGACCGCGCACCGAAAGTCTGGACGGAGAAGCGCGCATTTGTTACCTTGATCTACTGGATTCTGGTGTTGCTCACGCCCATCGTGACGTCGGTGTTTTGCTGGTTCCGCGTGTACACAATGCGCGAGTGGGTGGCTGGTTCAGGATGGATGGAGGATCCGAATACGGAGATGATAGTGTGGGACTCGGGGCAGTTGATTGCGATGGGCGTGCTTATTACGGTTATCATGAACGTGCTTACCGAGGCGATGGAGAGGGAGAAGAAAGACGCGAAGAAGAGGAGTGACGGGATGGATGGAGAGGCTGGAGTAGAGTTGCTGCCGACTGCGTATCGTGGCTATGAGTATTAGGGTGCACGCGTCTAGAGGATGGTAGAGTATAGCAAGCGAATTAGCCGAAAATTGTGACTGGACAACCGATTATGGAGCTCTCTCAGCATTGTGTGGGGTTTTGCGCGTTGGTTAGAGTAAGTTTCGTTTACGCATGAATCGTGACATTGTGTTGGTGTTGGTGATGGTGAAGAGTGGGCGCGTCGCGATTTCAAAGCGCGATGACGGCACCAGAGTGCACGGACTCTCGGAGGTTGCGGCGATGTCGACCACTGTATGGTTGTCTCCATTACCACGACCATCGCCGCCCGAGACACGCAGAACCCGGTCGAAGGCCTTACGTAGCCTGCGCCTTCTATATTCGAATCACGACGCCGAGTGCACCTCTTTCCCTACGGATGGGCACACCTCCACATCGCCCCCAACTGATCGCTGCCTTGGCTGGTGCCGTGTGCTTTCACTATCACCGTTATACAGCGACATATTCACACCTAATCTAATACTTCCCCTGCAGACCTACCGAACACCGAGAGCATCAGAACCTATCTAAACACATTTACCCTACACATACACCGATTCGACGTCTCGCACTGGCCTCTTCAACGCCCCGCCACCATGTTCACGAGCTTCACCGGCAACACGCGAAAGGCGCGCCAAGTCAACCTCGGCGGCAAGAAGACGAATCCCTTCGGCCCTCCTGGCTCCGGCGCCGGTTCACAGGCCGCCCTCGACCGCGCACAGCAAGAGCGAGCGCAACGGCAGCGGGAACGAGACACGCTCAATGCGGCCAAGCGGATACAGAAAGTATGGCGGGGCCACTCTGCCAGGAGAGATGTGGCTGACGAGCTACGGGGCGCATGGGACCGGGTAGAAGAGGCGAATGGCTCTTCGAGGACGGCGACATATGGCTCGGAGGAGGAGGCTCTTGCCCAACTACAACGGCTGCTTCGATTCGCTTCCTCACGGAGCGATGACGACCTACGACGGATACAGCACTACGCGTCGCGCCAGATGGAGACAGTCAAGAAGTTGGGCATCACATCCAGCGGGCCGTGGCCGTGGGCATATCTAAGGCTGGAGCGCATCCTACTCGTGGCCATAGAGCGGCAGCTTCAGAAGCACGCGCCGATGCAATGGAATCAGGTTGGGGCTTCTCTCGCCGTTTTACAGTTCCTCGCCGACCAGATACCTGCCGAAACGTCCCAGAATGCCGAGCATTACTACCGCACTCTTGCACGCGTCGTGGCCACCTTCACCCCAACACTTGAAACGCAGAGCGAAGGATCGGAGATAAGTGACACCATAGTCAGGGCAGCCCTCTCGCCGATGACGCGGGTGACTGGCTATACACTGAATGCTTATGAGGCTTTCGGTATACACTTCCTGACCCTCCCACTGTTAGGCTCGGACTCAACGTCACCACCATTACAAAAGTTCCGCGACTCGCTCGCTGACGCCATCAACTATAAACTACTCGCAAACGCATTGGCGACACTTTCCAAGAGGGCAGGACTGCAAAGCAAATCCGAGCTGAAGAACACATCAAGTAGACTGCGATTACTGGGGAACTTCATCTACTTCCACCGCTACGCCCACAACTTCGACACTCCCGAAGCCTACGCGGTTCACAAGGACTTTGTAGCCGTTGTATCGGTCCTGTTGAACTCCCTACCAATCAACATTGTAGATGACGATCATCCAATCGCCGAGCTTTCCGAAGACGATGGTGCCGAACAAGACTCCAGCGCTGTGTCGAATTTCTTGAAAGAGCAAGTCCGCTCCCTGGTACATCAGGAAGGTATTGGCAGTCTTTTGGCCGGATCATCACAGTCAGCGGAAGCTTCAGATGATGAGAAGGTCGAAGAAGCCCGGCAGCTTGCAAACTACGCGCTTGCATTACTTCGCTTCTTCCCTCGTCGCGGAGACGAGATACGAATGTGGCTCTACATCGGCCCATCAGAGGCGTCTGGAAAGAGCGCAAGGAAGCTTCCAGCGATCAGATACTTCTGGGAAGCATCAAAACGATCATCGGTCTTTACCACCATCTTCCGGGACTCAAGGGCAGCTATCGGACTCTTGAAGCCGAAATCTTCAAATCTGAACAACTCTGACCGCCCAGGGACGTCCGGGCTAACGCAGCATGGCTTCTGGCAGCCAGCACAACAACAAGTTGATCGCGACGCAATCACCACCGACGAATGGCGGGTCATTCTGGTATTCCTCGAACTATATACCTTTGTGCTTAAAGTCACCGACGACGAGGAGTTCTTCACCTCGGGGCAGAAAGACATCTATTCGGGCCAGATCCGCGACAGTGGCTTACCTCTAAGCGAGGTGAAGGATTTGACTACTTTTCTGAAGAATTTAGGCTTCACCCTTTACTTCAACGCAGTGGACATTACAACGTCGGAAGAGGATATGGGAGGCAACAACAGAAGTCTTAGCTACTTCAACCCTGGCGTCATGGATAATCAAGCCCAGAAAGAGCATGCTGAGCCATCAATAGGTGGTGTCGCAGGCTTGAGGATAGACTACGTGAAAGGGCTGGTTACTGGACTACTTCGTATGGTATACGAGCGCGACTCTCGACGCAAGTTCCTGCCTTCAGACCACTGGCTCATGGTCTCGCGCTTTGACATGACGGGGTTCATTCCGGCTGTAGTTGAGGAGGAAGAGTCGCGCCACAAGATCCAAGAGGAAGACGCGGAAGATCTCGACGACCTGGAAGAAGAGGAATTCGACGACACACCACAACTCATCGGCACGAGTCGCACCCAGACACAACGACGCTTGGAGAAACTACAACGGCAGCAGCGCAAGGCTTCGCGGAGACGGTACCTGCAAGCCGTAGCACCTCGTCTCGAAATCCTGCAGAACATGCCGTTCTTCATACCCTTCACCACTCGCGTTCAGATCTTCCGCGAGTTTGTTAAACTAGATATGATCAAGCGACGGGGATCTGCGGATCCTGAGTTCTGGCGGTTCCGGACCATGCAGCAGCCTAACGCACGCAGCCAACTCGAGAAACATACGGCACGGATCAGGAGAGAGAACGAGTTCGATGATGCTTTCGAGCAATTCTATGAACTAGGTCAGGGCTTGAAGGAACCAATCCAAATCACCTTCATGGATCAGTTTGGCGCCCCTGAAGCTGGTATTGATGGTGGTGGTGTTACGAAGGAGTTCCTGACCAGCGTTACCAGCCGAGCATTCATGCCGACTGAATACATCGACATGTTTGTTGAGAACGACCAACATCTTCTATATCCCAACCCCGCGGCAGTCGAAGAGCACAAAGAGGCTCTCCGGCAAGCTGGCGTACGGGAGGGTTCACAAGAGTACCGTGCCCAAATCACTGAGCTGCTTCAACGCTACGAGTTCCTGGGACGCATCATCGGCAAATGTCTGTACGAAGGTATCCTAGTCGACGTCAACTTCGCACCCTTCTTCCTACGCAAATGGGCACTAACCGGCGGCACGGGCTCCGCGCCCAACGAATCCGGCTACCGCCCCACGCTCAACGACCTCCGCGACCTAGACGAAGAGCTATACCAAGGCCTACACAAGCTCAAGACCTACCCTGGCGACGTCGAAGACTTCTCGCTCAACTTCACCGTCACCGACACCGTCATCGTCGACCACACGACCTCGCCCAAGAAAACAAAAGCCATAACCAAGGACCTCAAACCCGACGGCTCAAACACCCCCGTCACCAACCAGAACAGGCTTGTGTACATTAGTTACATGGCGCGTCACCGCCTGCAAAACCAACCCTACGCCCAAACCACGGCGTTCCTCCGCGGCCTCGCCACCATGATCCAACCCTCCTGGCTCTCCATGTTCAACCAATCCGAACTCCAGACCCTCATCTCCGGTACCCGTACGTCCATTGACGTCGAAGACCTGCGCCGCAACACCATCTACGGCGGCACGTACGTCATCGGCGACGACGGACAAGAGCACCCGACTATCCAGCTCCTGTGGAAGGTCATGAAGGAGATGACCGATGATGAGCGCCGTGCGGTGCTGAAGTTTGTGACTAGCACGCCGCGCGCCCCGCTGCTGGGGTTTGGGACGCTGAATCCGAGGTTTAGTATTAGGGATGCGGGGAGGGATCAGGATAGGTTGCCTAGTACGAGTACGTGTGTTAATTTGCTGAAGTTGCCGATGTATGAGGATGAGACGACGCTGAAGGAGAAGTTGCTGTATAGCGTTTTCTCGGGCGCTGGGTTTGATTTGAGCTAGAGGGTTGGCAGGTTGGGGAAGGGGGTTGTTGTGGGAAGGAGGATGAATGGTGCGCGGTTAGGGGAAGGGAAGTTGATAGATTTGCATAGCATGGTATTATGGGGTTTTCATGAAATAGGGTTGCATCATGCATGTATACCCTTTGACTGCAACTTGATCGCTCTTGGATATTGTGTTTATTAACCTTGTGCAGCAGTCTTTCTTCATGTCGTCAGGGATAGTTTTATTCGCCATTGGGTTATTCGTTTTAAATTACGAGATGATCGCAGAGATATCAATCTTGTCACTGGTTAAATAGCATCTTGTAGTACCATAGATGTATATTAAAACTAGTGCGAATCCGATTTAGAGGCTTGAGTTGAAGCGCGTTGTCGCCGCTGCAAGATCTTGCGGCTAGATACCTTCACCGTTGAATTCTCGTCTCCATTATCTGATTGGGGGATTCCGGCATCATGTATGTCGTTCGTATTGTGGAAGTCGTGAGTAGCCCGCTGCGCATCGTCCATGGGTCATCGTACGGGTAATCGCAGTGACATGGGATTGAATGGAAGATGAGTTCAATATTTTCGCACACAGATATGAGTCAAAGCAGAGAGTATAGAAGCTTCGCCGTCGGCCAGAGACCCTAATGGTCTCGAGTTGTGCTCGGGCCACCGAGCGAACCGAAGAATAATAGGTTGTAACTTAGGACAAGCAACAACAGGAGGAACAGGATGAGAATGGGCACGGGCTCAGGCCACTCCCAAGCTCTGCTGCTGTCTATCGTCCATTCCGTTGCGAGCATAGTTAGAGCCTTGTCATACTTCGTGTTGAACTCGTCCAGATCTTGCTGTGTGCTATCGCTCTTTGCGCCGGATGAATTTACGGCTATGACTCTAGATTGGAATTCTCGGAGCGAACGTCGGACACCCGAAGCAGTCATTTTAGGATGTTGTCGGAGTTCGCGATCATTAAGGAATGCGAGGCATAGATCCATCGTGTTGTTCGCGTTCTCGGATCGGTACGCTAAATCGTTCCCAGCTGTGAACAAGTCCATGGCGAATGTGTCCCAGCAACGGTATACATCCATGCGTGTGAGAGCTTCGGCATCCGTAGCAAGAATTTGGAGAATCGCAGTAACTGCTTTCGTGCGCGAAGGGCGGTCCAGCATAAGTTCCCCTACCATGTAGTACCGCAGGAGTGTACAGGTCAGCGAAGTTCGTTGTTGGGCTGTGACGGATTCTTCCCGCGAGGCTTTGTCGGCAACATAGAGAAAACATCCATTCTCCATGGCAAGACTCCAGAAAGAAGGATACCGCTGGATATCGTAACTCGTGGCAGAACCACGTACGAATATCCGTCTTTCGACCTGCTGTTTGGCAAAGTGTTCGAATGTCTTGGACATTGTTGACTTTGCCCAGTGGAATCTCATTGTTTGTTCCATATCGTCTAATAACGCCGTGTAGGGACGAAGGCTACTTCCCTCCAGGAAGCCAGCGAACAAAAGTCCTTGCCGCAAGTTCGCGACAGAACGGCTGGTTTCGGCTACAAATGCAGTTTCCGAAGGCGATACCTTCATCTCCAGAAGACTTGAAACGAGCAGAGTAAGGTCGATGTTGAAGTCAGAGCCAGCTTGGGTCTTCAATAGGTTCCATGTCTCATCAGAGCGGAAGAAGTCAATAGCAGTCTTGTGGTAGAACCCGACCCATGCGTCAATAGAAGACGAGCCTCGCTCAACGATATTGTCTTGGCCTTTGACTTCAAGCAAGCCTTTCTTATGGCCATCGATCCTTCGCTTCATCCACAAGCATAGCGATCGTCGCTTGCCTGGCGACATGATCCGCACTTCCTCGGAGATCGCCTTTTCAGCAGTAGTGTCCTCGTTGTCGGCTAGAGCTAGCTGAAGAAGGCTTATCGGACCGTAATATGGCACTTCTCTGCTTCTCAGCGTTATGAGAATCATCCGAGCCGTACCCTTTTGTATCGCTGGGTCAAGCGATTTGAACATGTGCTTATACATCTCGTGAAGGTCTGGGGGGAGCGAGTCGAGTTTACGTTGCAACGTAGATGTCGTCTCCCCATTATGTAGTCCTTCTAGAATCGAACGAAGCGCTAAGACTACCCAGAGAAAAGCGCCGGCTGACTTGTCGCAGAGGCCGCGTACCAAGGTCAAACGAAGCTCTGGATTCAACTCTTCCACTTCTCTTAAGCCCCGAGAGTTATCCAGCCTATCAGAAACGAAGTTTATCATGTCTTGATACGTCAGGTCTTGTAATCGAAGCTGAGGCATATCGGTGAAGGCGTCATTGAACTCTGCTAGAGGTCGGCTAGACAGCACCAGCTTCATGTTATCATAGGAAGACAGCGTTTCAAGAACGCGAATTAGACCACCGTGATCTCCAGCGTACTCATCCAGACCATCAATGAAGAGGCAGATTTTGAGGCCTCTGGAGTTTTCAACAAGCAGATGAAGAGCTTCCATAAGCTCTGAAGACGTCCAAGAGAGATCCAGCTCACGTCCAGCAACAATCTCCGTGCAGATTTCGGGAAAGACGGACGGTACAAGCCGTGGACATTGCGCAAGAAGCGTGTACAGCAGGCCTCGCAATAAGCCTTCATGCGATGATTGCAGGGTGTGTCCAGCCGCCCAGAAGAAGAACCGGGCCTGCAGCAACGTAAGGCCATCCCTCCACGAATCAAGGAGCTGAACCGTTTGAGGATGTGAACAGATATACTTCATCAACGTAGACTTCCCGCTCCCAGGCTTTCCTGAGATCCAGTATAGACTGTTCTCACTACCGAGCCACTCCGCAAAATCTGACCAGCGACGGTCTTGCTTGGGCGCTTTGAAGATCCACTCGTACGTGTCATGATGGGCTATCGCTGTATCGCTGAATCTGCTTTGCAGCCCACGATAATGTAGCGCGGCCAAAACTTTGGTCGCAAGCGACGAGAATCGCTCGTTGGAGACCGTTTCCAAGAGTTGTGTGTTGGACTGATCTCTGAACGTGATCACACGCTCGATTGAGTTGCCAGGGGCCGAGTCTTCTTGGTCGGCAAGTGCGAAGTTCTGGTCGGCGACTGACAGTTTAGTGCCATCTTCAAGCCCCAGAATAACGCGGAGGACTTTCTCTCTTCTGTTATCTTCGCTCTTGTTCTCGAAGTTTCTGGTAAGATCACGAGGTGACGTAGAATATGCGGAAGAACTTTGTGTGAATGTCAAGATCTGCACGATGCGCTTGCTCGCCGTCTCGAGACTATCAAGACGCTCAGTCACTTCTGACGAGTGTACATCCGTTTTCGCGTTGAGCAGGGCAAGAAGGCGTAACGAGAGGTCCTGCTGGTAGCCTTCAAGCCTGCTGACCAGCCCTTCGATTTGCTCTTTCTTCAGGATAGTACGAAGCGCAATGTGAAAGCTTCTCCATGCAGATCGTTTGTCCGCTTTTGGGATGAGGTCCTCAAGATATTTGATGATTTCCGTCCCAACTTCAGAGCAACCTGCAATGATGCGGTCAAGCGCCTTCAACAATTAGCATCTTATCTTTCCATCCAATTACACACCTGGGTGTAGGCGCACTTCATATTCATCCTTGAGTGAGTCCTTGCGACCGCTGATTGGTGCACGCAAGCCATTGACCCAGGATTTGAGTTCCTGTGCTCGGTGCTTGATCTCAGAAACGCCGATGGTGGTGCCTTCCTGATGAACATCATGGCCGAGGAGTACGACTTTGACAGCGAAGTCGATAAATGTCACAATAGACGTCGCAATAGAGACCGCGCTAATAGGATCCATCGGAATGACCAGAACTGATGACGGGCTGAAAGATGGGCGGATTAGCGCAAGGCCGGAGCGAGTCTTTATCTGAACATTACCGCGCGGAATCAAGAGTAAGCGCTGGAATCGATACCTACGCCATGCAGCCAGGCTGAGGCTTCAAGCCCCGGTTGAACATGCATTGTGTACTGAATCCGACCTATCACACTACCAGTACAGAGCTGGCATCTGGAGTGGCGGGGGCGAAGCTGCAGCTGAGGGCTGAGCAGCGCGCGCACTGCGTCGGCGTGAGTATGTCTACCGCATACATACCTGGTATCGAGTAAGCCAGTAAACATGCCTTGGCGAATGGCTGGGACTTGACCCAGCCCAAACCAGGACCAGACCGCAGTCTGAGTCAAAGGCGCACTCTATTCTTTCTGGGACTTGACGAATGGCTGATGGATGTTTGATGCTGACAGTGGGCGATTTGGAGTTCAGAATCGTGGTCGAAGCGAAGCGAAGGCGCAGCCTGCAGGCGCGACATGGCCGCCACTGCCCGCACCTACAAACGTGCTCGACCCCCCTGTGAAATCCAATAAACCCTGATGCCATCAGGTACGATACTTGTCTGCGCGCTCGTCTCGTGACAACCCGATTGCAATGACTTTGGTACAATATTTTTGAACCAGCACGATACACTGCAACGTCCTGTCCCGGACCGCTTCCCGTGCATATCCCCGAGACGGGCTTTGTGACTAGATCTGTAGGACTTTGGACTGCAGGTTTGGTTGTCCGATGGCTTTGAGTATACTATCGTCTGACGATGTTGATTACCTTTGCACAGGATTAATGGATGCATAGTAGGGGTTGCGTGATCGAGTACGTTCTTATGCGTAACTATAGACATTAGAACGCAGGACACATGTCCACGTCGAGTCTCATGGCATTACTATCCAACTCAATCCCATCCATTACCAACCCCACCACCCCTCTACTCATCATCCCCATCCCCATCCCCATCCATCCCCGGCGGCAACGGCGGAATACTAAAATCCTCCAAACTCGCCCACTGACTGCTCCTCCACCCCCCAGCAGCATGCGTCGCCTGCGTCATCCCAAATATAGGACTACTCCACCCCTCACCCTCCGCCGCGACCTTCTCCGGACTAGGAAAACTACTCGGGATAAACAACGGCGGCGGTTTCCCCGGCGAGATATTCGGCTGAGAACTAGCGATACGATGGGGTGTTGTGTGCGTGCTGGAGAAATGCTGTGTGCGCTTGCGTCGGGGCGTGCGCTGCGTGATTTCATCTACGGTTGTTGCTTGAGAAGGGTGGTAGCCTGATGGGTGTTGGGTTGACTGGGGCGCTGTGTTTTGGTTTTGGGGGAGGCGGGGGGTGTCGTTGTAGCTGAATGCGTCGGGGGCGGCGCGCATGCTTGAGGAGTCGGGGGGTCGGGTGTTGATGTATTGGGAGTAGGAGAACCATTCGTTGTGGAGTTGTTGTTCTGCTTTGCTGGAGTGTGACTGTTGGGTTTCGTTGTCGGGTGATGGTGAGCGGGGGACTTGGATGGATCCGCCGTTTAAATCTGCTGACTGGGGGATGTCTGTCGAGGTGGACTGCGGCACACATGCTTTGCTTGATCGTGGAGGCGTTGGGTCTGGTGGGGCTTCTTCTTCTTCCTCCGATGAATCGTCGTTGATGACCATCGGTGTGGATGGACAGGTTTCTTGATTGAGGTCTTCAATGACTGGAGGAGTGGAGCGGAGCTGCTCTTCTGGCAGAGGTAGATCTCCTTCACTAGTCGTTTTAGCCTCGCTCTTGATTGGTCTCTCTTCATTCGACGGATTGAACGGGACTGTGGGCAGTATTGTTGCGTCGTCGTCTTCGTCGTCCTCATAGTCGTCATCGTCATGACCGGGCTCCTGCTTAACAGCGACAGACTCAGCTACAGTAGAAGACGATCTGCCACTCGACTGCTTTTGCGGGTCGCCAAGTTCGGGAGAAGGTTGTTGGTCACCTCGAAGCTCGGGTAGATTGCCTGATTCTTGTGATGATGCCGTATCCTCCATGACTTCTTCTCCGTTCGCATCAGCACATGCCTGATCGATCCTGTCAAGTACTGCCTGAGTATCAGCGCCAACGGCTTTCCCAGTCGCAGCTTCACGGTGCCCGGAGGAAGTTTGCGCATCCCTACCCCCGTGACGTCCAACAGTAGGCAGGTCATCTTCTATGATACCATCATCCTCGTCTTCGGAGTCTTGTATCGTACTCTCGAACTTCCTCAGTGTTGGCGGTGGTATAGGCGTCTTCGAAGGCATCTTGAAAGTAACCTGCTTGCGTTTCGAAGGTGTCTCTGGTGCAAGGATTGGGTTATCCGAGCGCTGCTTGAGAGGAGAGCGGTGTAGCTTTTGTGGAGAGACTTGGGTCGATAGTGGCGAGTCGGCGGGTGACTGAGAGGAGGGAATCTCGCGAATACGGCGTTTCTCTGGAGTCGATAGAAGGCTGAAGCGGGCTTTGCGGGTTCTGGCCTGCCCTTGCGGCGCATAGAAAGCTTCTTCCGCCTCTGCCACTCGTGGTCCTCTTCCTCGTCTAGTCGCCCGGGACGTTCTTGTGACAGGCGCTTCGATAAACTGTGTGGGTTTGTAGCTGTCTTCGCAGTCCTCGTCCATCTCGTCTTCCACTGACTGCACCACCAACTCCGGGGTGTCTTGCGAGTTTGCCGTGGACTCCTTCTTAATGTGTTCGTCCTCTGGGTCCTGCTCCATGTCGTTTCCACCTTCGTCTGCACTGTTGACCTCTCTAACGCCATTCCCCTCGACACGATAGAAGCCTTGTTGCGCCAGACGCTGCGCAACAGCATCGCCGTAGGTCTGACTAGCCCTCTCTTCTGCCTCGACATCGCTCAATATCTCGTCTAAGTCCTCATCCGACATAGTCTCTTGTGGTCGTATGCCAGGTATCATCTGCGTCAACGTGCGCTGCTTCCTGTCGCTCTTTGCTTCGCTTTTGCCACGTCCACCCCAACTCAGTCGCGAGCTCTGTTTTACGGGCTTAAAGCTAGGCTCTTCGTCTTCTGGCAAGGGCTTCCGTCCGTCTACCAATTGTGTCATTGTTGACTGTCGCCGTAATGTGCGCTCGCGATTGGTCTTGGTGGCTGTCGCATCGTTCTCGCCGTCGGATCCGGCTTCGACGCGCCTCGAGCGGCGAGGATTGTTAGGTGTGGCTGCCGTCCGTCGGCGTTTAGATGTAGGCTGCACCGGTTCGTCCTCTCCATCATCTTCCTGCTGCACCCCGTCGCTATTACGCTTCTTCCCCTTCCGCTTCGTCTGCCTCACAGGCTGCTGCTCTTCTTCCTCAGTCACCTCAGCCTTGATAGAAACCCCGCCATCTTCCAAATCCTCCTCAATATCCGTGTCGCTATCCTCATCCGAGTCAGCGACAACAGGCGTACCCTGCCTCCTCATCTTGTCCGGCAGGAAGACCATTTGCCGCTTCCCATCGTGTACAGGTGTCGAGCGCCGGCGCACAGTCTTGCGCTTGTGTGGAAAGCGCACCTGCTGGGGCACTTTCTTGGAATAGTAGACCTTGTAGTCGGCGTCTTGGTTGCTGGAACGCGTCTTGGGCGTCATGGTGGGTGGGTGGAGCAATCGATAAGTTGCGGCGTTGGAGCGTTGGTCGACGCGACGCGTTGAGGGGACTAGCGCGACAAAGAGCATGACAGGGGTGTGCGTCATTACCACTTTCGCTCCTGCCGTCTCCGACTCATACATTGGTCGTCAACACCATGCATGAAGCACGCGAACTGTGAACTCGGTTCATGCACGTCCACAAGTCTGAGTGAACTTGCTGTCTCGCTACAAAATTACCACGCGCGATGAGCTCACAGCCATCAACCCTGATCATCGGGGCTGGAGTCTTCGGTGTCTCCACTGCCTACCACTTGATCAAAAAGTACCCCGAAGCACATATACAACTGGTTGACCGAACAGAATACCCCTGCCCACTTGCCGCATCCTGGGACTGGAACAAGGTTGTTCGTGCAGACTATGGCGACATCTTCTACATGGAAATGGCGTTGGAAGCCATACAGTACTGGCGACATGATCCACTCTTCAGCCAGTTCTACCATCAAAGCGGTATGATTAACATCGACAATACCGACCTGGGTAGAGAGATCTTGAGAAACTATGAGAAGGTTGGTATCGAAGTCGATGCGGAGATGGTGAGCCCAGAACGGTTCAAAGAGATGTACGGTTCTTTCTACGATAACACCGATTTCTCCGACGTTGGCGAAGTGTTCGTGAACAGAGATAGCGGGTGGGCCGAAGCCACTAAAGCTCTGACTGCTTACACGGACGCCGCGATCGAGGCGGGAGTCAAGTATACCGCAGCAGAGATTGACGTGTTGACCTTCGGTACTGATGGAGAATGTACTGGAGTTCTAACGAAAGGTGGTGAAATCATCACAGCAGATCGCGTCATCCTAGCGACCGGTGCAGGCACGGCCAAATTGATCGCCGACAGTGCTCCAAGCAGAGGCGAGCTACAAGTCGATGGACGTCTGGTCGCTGGAGCAGTGGTCACTGGAATCGTCAACCTCGACCCAAAGAATGGGCAGCAGTATACCGAGATTCCGGTCACAGTACATTCTGTCTTGCCAACACGAGGTGAGGAGACCGACGTCTACCGTTTTCACTCTAACTGACAGAATCTAGGGGAAGTGATGCCACTAACAGCGCCTTTGTCAGACCAAGATCCATACACCGTCAAATTCTGCAGAGACGAAGCCTACAAGGACACCGTCAAACACGAGGCATCAGGTCAAGAGTTCTCTTCCCCGCCGAACAAGCCCGGTCAAGCGCAGAGGCAGCCGAACGAAGCTCTCAAGCAGCGGCTTGAACTCGTCAAGAACGGCATACTGGGTGAACCTGGGAAGAACGTCAAGTTTGACGAGTATCGTGTGTGCTGGTAAGTTGCGCGGCGCAACCACCATGACGGACCGGGCTAATATTTATCTAGGGATGCAGTGACACCAAGCCAAGACTTCATCATCACGCCACACCCGCATTCACAGAATCTCTATCTCGCGACATGCGGTTCTTTTCACGGATGGAAATTCATGCCTACGATCGGTCGCTACGTCGTGGAGATGCTGGATGGTACCCTAGACCCCTCTCTTGCCAAACGATGGGCGTGGGATCGTGAGAACGAAGGCGGTGCACATGCTCACTTGCTTCCTACGATTGAACTACGAGACTTGTGAGACGGGTAATAGAACGCTCCCAGCACCTTATACAAGGGAAAAACTGAACACCCTAGAGGCTACATCAAGAAGAAAACCTGCAAATTAGGTAGCCTAACGTCGATGTAGGCTCTAGACCTGTCCAGGTTTCCCTTAGGTTGACGTGCCAGCGAGATTTCGGCCGCGCCGATAACTTTACTAAGTAACATCGACGTGCGAATCAAAGAATGCATCGAACTGTCCTGTGACTCGACCTAATGCCGCAAGAAGCGAGTATGTTCTAAATGGGTATTAAACATTACAATATAATCTATTTGAGATAACCAATCTATGCACGACGTTCCATGTGAATAGCAACGGCGTGGTTTGCTCCGCTCAATTCCTCCACGTCTATTATCCAAATAATCCGCACCATGGTATCTTCAATCCCTGAAACGCCGTCCCCAAACAGCAAAATACCGAGCCCTTGCCCCGACCCCAAAACATCGAACCAATCCAGTCTTTAATCCCATTTCAACGCACCAGCCCGTCACCTCACCCAAGCTCCATCAAATCACCAACCCTCTCCCTATCCCCCATCCTACCTCTTCCTCCCCCCACTCCGACTCCTCGTCCTCTCCGTACTAACCGCAACGCTCAGCCCATTCGTACTCGGCCTCTCACTCTCCGTCTGCGCCTCCAACCCCTCACACCAAGCCCGTTCCTGCGCCTTCGTCGCCTGAACCCTACTCAGCGTCTTCTTAAGCGCGCCATACAAATGCTGATTATCGCTCGAATCCAAATCAACCCAAAAGCTATATATACTCAGTGACTGATGATTCATATTCTTGAACCTGCGTAGAATATACTGGCGCGCACTAAGTTCCGGATCCGATTCATTGCGTGTGTAATCCGGAAACAGTTTTTCCAGCGGTGCATACGCCATTTTGCTGACGAAGCGGGTGAAGTTGTTGAGGATGAGGATGATTGTGGAGTTTGCGAAGCCGGGGCGGTTGACCCATTGTTCGAAGCCTTCGAATTCGTGGACGAGGATGGATTCCGAGGGGCGCTCTGGGCTGGGTTTGTTGTAGAGGGAGACGTCGACGGTGAAGATGACGGCGGTGGCGTCTTCGAGTTGGTGGTACCAGCGCTCTTTGAAGTGTTGTGGGACGTAGCCTTTGATGTTGAAGAGGTGGATGTCGAGCTCGTCCCAGTCGAAGCGTGTTTCGTTGATGCCGCCGCCGGAGCGGGTTAGCCGGATTATGTCGGCTTCGCTGGGGACGTAGTCTTTTTCGGCTATGCGCGGCGCTTCTTGTGCGAAGTAGGGCGCGTACTGTGGGAAGTCGATTTCGAAGTTGCGGACGTAGAGTTTGGAGAATTCGGGACACGACCAGATTCTGGTGATGGCCTTGACGGCGTCGGACGATATGCCGTCCTCTCTGGCGTCCAGCTCGTGCAACAAGATCGCGAAGTCGTGGGTCAGTTCGGCAGAGAGTGTAACGCCGGTCTCTGTGAGTAAATTCGTGATCGACGATGTGAGCGATCTTACGACTTGGTAAACTGCGGGGCGGTACTTCAATCGTTCTTCCGTCTTATCATAACCTTCGGCGAACTGCACTTTCAGCTGATGCATTATCAGCTCTTTGCCACCCTGTGGGTTGCCTACAAGGACCAGCTTAGTCTCGTGCCGAAGGTTAGTAGCTTCTCTCTCCAAAGCACGATCTATTGCTTCGGACCGGTTGATTGCTGCCATATGCTCGTACTCTTCGTCGGATGGTGTGATCGTTCCATCGAAGTCGTTCCGCGCAATCTTCATGTGAAATAGTAGTCTCAGCCATTGGATGAATCGCGATAATTGCGCAAGGCTTGTAATGCAAGCGCCGTTCAATTTCGAGGATTGGGTGAGGGTCCTCAGATTTGCTGCATCTTCCTTCCTGATTTGACGGCTCTTATGAAGCAGGATCTTTCGCTGCGCTTGGGCGGTACTGACAGGCATTAGCATCAATTGTACGTAGGGTGGATTAGCAGTTTACCATTGACATGCCGCAAGTAACAAGTTCACGGCGTCATTCTGTCGTTGCGCAACCTGTTGCAATCGTTCCATGGATCTACTAGCGACGCTGTATTTTAGTTTGGAAGCGACATCGACAGCACCATGGTCCCGGTAGTCCAGACGCGCATTCAGGGCATCTACATGGCGTACCAGCAGCCCACAAGAATGCGCTAGCACGTCCAAGTCGGACACCAGTTGTGGATGGAGGTCGCTAATAGCATAATTGAGCCAGTCCAGGATGTTACCGAGACTAGACTTCAAGGCCGTTAGTTGCGCGATGAGGTTGATGGAAGAGCCATTGCTATCTCTCCAACGGTTGTGGATCTGTCGCAAGCCGTCGATGTCCTGTCGCAGCTGGTCGCGAATGGTGCCGATGGCGCTAATTAAGGCGAACACCCTTTTCTCATCGTCCGCCATGGCGCAGTAGCGTAGCGTCGCGTCGCGTTGCAGCAAAACAAATGTCGTGGATCGATTGGGCGGCGCCGGATTGCTGAACAAGTGTCTGACTGTCAGGAATCGTTTGCGACTGACGGCAACGCTCGCGAGACCCCGCGCATTTAGTCAGAAACAGCCAGGATTAAGGTTGGCACTTGCGGATGATTGTCACAAGACAGAACACAACAAGGAAGTCATCAGCGCCAGATCCGCGGAGGATGGAGACGGCCTGGTTATAGGGATGGCCCCAGGACCCGAGAAGATACCGCGAGCTTGGGGCGCGATGGGGCGGTCTGGCGAGAGTTGCACCGCGATCAACAGGGCGTGCTGACAGTGCGGGATTCCAACAACAACGGCTCGGCCTCGTCGCGAGAACGAGCCATCAGTCGCAGCCGTGATCTCAACGGTGCGATAGCGCGTTTTGATGCCAGGGGAAACGCGGCCAGCGGGTAGTGTGGCGGTCCCTAATAAGGATGCCGGCTAATTTGGGGCGCGGATGCCGAGCGGCGCAGTTCAATGTCAGGTACAAAACGATATCGTCTCCTGACTGCACAACCGCTTTGGGTTGAGCTGATGTCGTCCATATTAGGCGTGCAGTATACGAAGAAGAGTCACAAAGTGGCCTTGTTGTCGCCATGATCGATGACCCCTCAGACCTTTCGGCTCACATGTGGCTAGTGCAAACGCCACCAAGCGAGAACTCTGTCGTCATCGTCCGATGTGACACCTAGGCATTCACTTTTCCGCCCAGCAAACATGAGCCCTATAAACGCCACCATGCCAACTCTGCGATCGTTTTACTAAAATTGACACTCTGAATATCGGCATAACATCATTAGTCGTCGAAGCCTTGAGCAAAAAGCTAAGGGACGCGACTGCAGCATGGCGACTATCGACACTCTGCCGAATGAGATTCTCTCGTTGATAACGACTCATCTTGAACGACCGCGGGATTTACTCTACCTCTCTTTGGCAAACCGCCGGTTGAGCGAGTTCGCAAAGCTCGATGGATGGAAAGCTTTGCTCAGAGGCCGCTTTGGCCTGGGCGGTCTGGACGCGGATGCCTACAACGCCGTCCACGGTGTGACAACACTATGCCGGAACTGGGATCGAAGAGGCCTGATTGCGAGGTACCTAGAACCAACAGAAAAGACAATGAGCATGAATACCTGGCAAGCCGAAAGATGGAGGGGCCCGCAGGGTCAGACAATGGGCTATCAACCTAGCATTGACAGCTATGAAGAGATGTATGGATCGTGGGGAGAAAGAAAAGAAGTACTGGCGTGGTCTGCAGGTACGCAGATTGTAATGCGTACGAAAGAGACGGGTGCGAACATCGAGAAGATCAGACAACGCGAAGAGGGCCTCGACCAGGCGCTTGATCAAACGTGGAGGTATGACGCGTTCAGACACTTAAATACGTGGTTCACGTATAAGATCCCAGACAGCTCTGAAGGTCGCGACGACATCGTCAACTTGAAGTTGCTCCGTCCGCATCAACGGGATTTGGCCTCCGAAGATATCGTTTTTGGGACTGCATCAGGCCAGCTATCTCTACTCAGCGCCAGCCCTGATTTTGCAGAGACGCGGGTACAAAACTACAACACTAACCGTCCTGATGTCTTTGATGAAACCAGAAAACGAGCCATCGCTGATCTTTCGATATCGTCTTCGAGCACGCCATTGCTAGCTGCCGCACTTTCGGATACATCGCTAGCGATTTACCCAATCGATCGTTACAACTTCTCGGATCAAGCGATTAAGCCCTCTTCCGCAACAAAGGCAGTATTAGACGGAAAACCACAACGTAAAATATGGTCATGCGAGTTTGTATCCGATGATGCTGTCGCCGTTGGGTGGGGTCCCCACGCCGAACCTATCGAGGTCTACCACATTGGGCCCGAAGGCTTCTTATCCGAGCCTTTGCGTCGTTTCAATGTAGCCAACGAGAGCCTGGCGCATTCAAATCATACGGCGGTGTATTCAATACTCCCATTACCCAGCACATCACCGGGCCCATCCGAAGCAGGTCACACTTTCCTGTCTGGCGGTTACGATGGTATCGTTAGGCTGCATGACATGCGCTCACCAAGCGGCTTCGAACAGATCTTCTGGGACCCAACAAACGATTCGGCAGTCTACTCTCTTGCCGCACAAGGGCGAGAACGCTTCGTAGCAGGTGTAGCTTTACACAGCATGATCAAAGTGTTTGACTTGCGCTTATCAGGCTCGCACTCGTACCACGCCATCTCACTATCCGACAAAAAGCTCAAACCAACAAACAAAGCATTGTCGCGAGACTCAGCCACCAACACCATCATTGATGGGCTGAAGAGCCAGACTCCGATAGTGAGTGGCGGCTGGAACCTCTACCTGACTCCCCGCACCACTCCGTCACGCACGGCGTATCGCACCGACTACTCCCGCTTGCGAGGAGATTCACCCGTTTACAGTCTCTCGATCCCATCATCTACCTCACAGAACCTGTATGCCGGCCTCGAAGGCGTTGTCGAGAGTCTCACATTCCATGGCGTCGCGGATACCCACCCAGATC